CGATTAACAACGGCTCTAGGAGGAATATAAACAGAAGCAATACAAAGGCTCTTACCTTTAATAATAGTCTGACATGCAACAACTTCAATACCTGGAAATTGTGGAAGATTCACTCTATAGAAGGAATGGCACTTTTTGATCCCCAAAAGTACCCCTCCTCCACGCGAATCCTCACGATCCAGTCGAATAATGTTAAAATCATAAAAAGGAAGATCGATATCTGAAGAGAGCCAAGTTTCACAAACAGCAAATGCATCACAATCATTATTGTGAATTAAAAACTTAAAAGAATCTAATTTAGGAATGAGACTTCGACAATTCCACTGTAGAACAGTGATCAAATCCCCGACCTCGTTTGGAAAATTATCCATCGAAGGAAATGATTGCTGCAATGAGGGGCCACTTCAATGTCAATTGCTTCAAGAGGGTCTTCACAGAAGGAAGCATTGCCAGAACAATGCTTTTGAGAGGATCAGAAATATTGAGGTACTTGAGAATATCGTCCACAATTTTATCAAATGAGAACAACCCGGATGAAGAAGGGGCTTCTGTTCTTAAAAATGGGCCATCAGGGGTTTTTGATGTCCCCGGGAGAGATGGAAAATTCTGGTTATAATCAGTTCTGCGGAAACCAGGAGGAGTTGAAACTTCCTTTTTTCCATCACTCCTTGATTTGGGCAAGCTGATTTGGGGTTCCTTATCTGCAACTTTCCGCGAACGGATGCGTTTTCGTTTCCTAGCAGAACCTTCCGGAAAACTGAAAGAAACTCCCTCCTCAGCCAAGTCAGAGTCAGACTCGTCATCAGACAGAACAGCAAAGGGATTTTTGTCGTTGGTTGATGGTGTGGCTGTTTTTAGCATTGCTGCAAAAGACTGCCTGGAACGCTCCTTAAGAGAGCGTTCTAGTTTCTCCCCGCGTTGTTTGTACGCCGGGCACGATGAGAGACCATGAGGAGTTCCCTTACAGTACACGCATTTTGGTGCAGTGACTGTGCAGGCGCCATCCTCGTGCTTCTCCCCGCATTTGGAACAGCGTGCCTTGCTGCCACAGTGAGAGGCCGTATGTCCCAACTGTTTGCAGTTTTGGCAGTTCATGACCCGAGGAACAAACAAACGCACAGGTAGCCGAAGTTTTCCCAACTCGATGTAGTGAGGAAGGGCTGAACCAGAAAAGGTCACCCGAAACGAGTCTGTGGGGGTAAAGCTCTTTTTACCCTCGCTGAAAGATACTGAGTTCAGCTTCTGGACTTCCAGTATCTCAACCGTGGGAAGCAAGGGGTTCTTGAAACGGCCAACTGCTTGCTTCGCCAAGATCTCGGGGGTCAGACTCGCTTCGGTGACCACACCTTCGATCTCCACATTACGAGCTGGGATGTACACTCTATACTCGAGTGTAAAGAGCTGGGAGGCAGCAATCTCGTTAGCTTGTTTCAGGTTAGAGACGACAACGCGAAGTTTATTGTACCTCACCTTCGAGATTTCGGTCACGGCCGAGAACCGCTTCGTCAGATCATTAGTAATTTGCATTACATTCAAAGGTTTCTTTTTGGGCTGAAAGTAAACAACCCATGGGCCAGTCGAGTCTTCTGGGTAGGCTCGCGATCGGGGGCTTATCTGTCCCTGTCCATTACCAGACTGAGATGACGAAGCAGGGATGGCATCATCCGATTTCTGGGATGACAGACGTTTTCGACCCTTCTTGCCATCGCGTGGCAAAGTGGTGTCATCTTCCGACAAAACGTCCATTTCGTCTTCTGACAAAATGTCCATTTTGCCGTACTAGTGGGAGCGAAAAACGCTCTACCACTGCAACGATAATCAAAATTACTCGGACACAATACACGAAGAAAAAAAAAATACTAACACAGAAACACAAACTTAAAATTTAACAGATGGGAGAAAGAAAGAAACAAGAACAAAAACTTATCTGATAATCCTATACTACTATCACCGAGCGTTTACACAGCAGCAGCGGAGCGACGCGCAGTTTTGATGATCTTCGATCCGCGTGTGCGGGCGGTCTTCGTTGGTGCGCAAAATGATTGGCGAATTGCCAATCGCAAAAACAATTTTCGATGATTCCGAAAACACACTTTCTTCTCAGAAAAAAACTCACTTTTTGATAAATTTATCCGGAATTATGCCAGGAATCACTAAGCGAGAAAAACTGATTATTTACGTCAGATAATAGCGAGAAAACTTCCAAATTAACGGAGCGCGAAACAAGTCGACCGTACTTCTTGCTAGGACGCGGTGGTGACCCGTGAAGATATAGATAATATTATTTTGCATGTAATTTTTTTCAATAATCTAAGAAAAAAAACTGATTTTCTTGGATATTTGATAATTTTTCCCATTATTTAAAAAAAAAAATGTCGGTGCGAAGAGGCAAAACGTGCTTAACATAATTTTCTATTGTAATTTTGTTTTCGTTCACATCCACCAAATTAAATTCGTTCTTTGTTTCGTTGAACCAGTTCGCATCGTTGCATGTGAATTGGCACCAATCACCAACATTACATAAATTTACCGAACACTGTAGATAAAAATAATAAAATAATCTTGTACAAAAACAAACCGTAGTAAAGTAACAGATTTTTGTAAACATTACTGAATAGGATTGTAAATTTCATAATGTCAATCTCAGTACTTGCCGCCATTTCAAAGTTGAGTTTTTGTCGGAACTCCGGTGTGAAAAGTAAGTAATTTACTTTTATTTTGCTATTTACAATCCGTTAAACCTATGCCGAAAGAAGACTAATCTAGACCAATTGCTTTCAGTCATCATGGTCGTTAGGCGGCCTAGTGTCCTTATCAAACGCAAAAAGCCAATTTGTGTATGGTTTGTTACGGAGTCAGTAACCTCGTCAGTAACATCGTCCTTATCTGTTGAACATTATTTTCACAAACGAAGTGACAGACGGAGCGGCTCGAAAACTTTGGTGACTAACCTGCTATTGCAATTTTTCAGTGTACCACATGGCAACACCACTACTACTGGATTGTACCACATGGCAACACTACTACTGGATTATACTAGCATTTTCACCAAATGTATTAGAATGTTTTGGTTCTATCTCTTTCACTCTACTCAAGACTGAAATGCATAAAAAAATGACAAAATGATACACTCTTTGCACACTGTCAAAGAATCATTGTACACAAAATCAACTTTGTTCAAATCAAAACAAAAAAACTAACCCATCTGGTGGATGATGGCACAAGCTTCCAAGAAAATTCTATTACAGTGAACCACATTATTTAAATGGATTTCTTTGCCAGTTAGTCGTCTGTCACTTCGTTTGTGTTATTTTTGTACGAACGTACGATGATAATATACAAAAAAAATAACGTTTTATGAGTCAAACGAATTGTTTGTTTTGTTATCATTTTAATTTTAAGAAAACACATGGAAGAAATAATCAATAAATCGATAAAAATCATAATTTTGGTACATTCAGGAATATAATGAATTACAGTTATTTCGGTAAAACGATACCGAACGCTATTGTTAACTTTACCAATCATTCTGCAAAATTTACAATCCATTTCAGTAAATTTTGACAGCTCAAGAGTGAAGAAAATTTACTGAACAGCTTGTAAATAATAAAATTACCGAATAGATTACAGAATGTTCAGCTGTTCCATATTCGGTAAAAAAAATACAGCATACTGTAAAAAATTCTAAGTGTGTATATTGAATATCCCAAGTAACTAGTAGGCTCTAAAACAAAGCCTTAATCTAGCACTAAAATCGGTTATAAAACAGGCATTACATGCTTATCATGCACTGCATGTCCATATGAGGCTTATATAATGCTAAAAAGGCGAAATAGCGGGCTAATTAAATGCTACGATAGCAGCTCGTAATAAGCATTACTAATGTTTACTTAAGGCAGCATCTGAAATGTCAAATGGATAGCAGCTTGTAATAAGCATTACTAATGCATAGATATGGCACGATGAAAATTGTCAGATTTGTTAACCATATTTTTTTTTTTCATTTATTGCAGCGCCTGAAAAAAATCTGTAGAAAAAATTATTCATGTATCTATCTTATCTGTTTTGTCGCTGTTTTATATCATCATCTGGTTTATTATACTTGAGCGAAACATTTGTTAGAATGAGATGATAGAATGAGATAATGCATTTATATTTTGAAAATTACCTTTGTGCGGCTCGAACCGGGGCCTGCAACATTGTTCATAATATCACGTGCCTTTACTGTCTCGACCACGAATGATACAGATAAGCAGGAGAAAAATAGAAGTATTTGAACAATATTTTAGATGCCCGCTTTTAATTAATGCTATGTGGCATAGGTCAGGAATAGAGAACAAAATTCTCTTTGCTTTTCAGTGCAGCTATAACAATGTCGTCACAAATACATTTACTTTCCCAGGCCTTTATTGTTAGACATTGCACTGGTACGCATTTGACGTTTTTGCTTAAGCAAAACAAAAGCGAACAAAAGTAGCAAGCTGCATGCACGCAATTTTCAATTATCCTGTTTTTAATTTGTTGATGCTCCGTGATCGTCTATTCGAATATTCATTGGTGAGTTGTTTTTAATCGGTTTTTACAACATGTTTTACAAAAATCTGTTGATTTTTTCAGGAATAATGCCGGAGAATAATTATACTATTGTTCAGACATCCGAAAATAATGACGTGTTTTTGTGTGTGTTGCCTTCGCGTTGGGTCCTGAAGAACGGATGGAACTGTTTCGGATCGGATGATCCAAATAATCCAGGTATTAACCTGGCTGGCAAAGATTTGTGCTATTGGCCAAAAGGTGTATCAGGCTACAGACTACTTGAACAAGCGAAGAAAGATCCCAAAGTCAAACCGGACACAAAACTGCTGCGTGCTTTTTGCTGCAAGATTAAGCGGAATAAGTTTCAAAGCTATTCTGAAGTAAGTAAAAAAAACTCACTCCTATAGTGGTAAATTGTAACAATTTGTATCTTTTAATTTTAGGCGTTCCGTGAACAGAAAGCAATGGAAATAAATTCAGATACAGAAGAATATGAAAGTAAGAAAAAGGTGAGAAAAGTAACGACTGTAGCTAATCTTTTTAAGCAGATCCAAACAGCAAAGCCAAGGCCGTCACGTGATACTCCTGTTCCGATTGAAAACGTCGAAGTAGAAGAGGACTTGGACTCACACGACGAATCTGAACCCGAAAGGGAAACCCGAATCGATGCAGGACGCAATAGTTCCCAGCTGTTAAATTCAATGATGCATGATAATCTATCCTCTGGGTCCATACGGACACCACCGTTGGAACCTCGGATTTCAGTCGATGACCCGTTTACACAAGAACCGGACATACGGCAGCTAGTGCTATCGCTGCATAAGAAAGTGGATGAAAATACCAGGAAAGTTGAAGAGTCCAAGCTCGCTGGAAACAGAACCGTTGCGCTGCTCTCGCAAATAAATGCGAAACTTGATGTCTTCGCCTCTCAAGTCAACATTAAACTCGACACCCTTGCTACGCATAAGCCACAGCAAATCGAAGTCGAATGTATCGGAGCAATGAGTGCTCCGTTGAAGCCAGTTAGGAACCTCGATGAGTTGGAGTCACTCGAGAAGAAATCCAGCAATGAACAATTTGTTGTGGGTATCATCCGATATTTTGGCTCCATGCATGGTAAGGCTAAGGATCGGTACGTTGGAGAAGGTGGAACAGTGTGTCTACAGATTGTCGATTATTTCTTTCATCGAGAATTTATGCTGAGCTGCTCCTGGACCGGAACGACCAGGAATAAAAGCTGTGATGAAGTTATTGTCTCGAAGATTGCTTTCCATAAATTTGATGGAGTTATTGCTTTGTTCCATAAAGTGGTAATGTTTTCGGATCCATCGTACTCACTTGTTGAGTGTCAGAAGTTTCTTCATCGTTGTTTAAGGAATGCCAAGCAACGATTCGAGGAAATCAAGGGAACAAGAGCTCCAGTGGCAAGAAAGAGACGCAAACGGAATGGACATGATTTTGCTCTGGATAACGAAGAGGAGAAACACGATGAAGAGGAAGACCCATTGGTGGAGTATGATGGACTGGATGGAATAGACATTTCTGACAATAAACCTATTATTGTCGAAGAATATCTTTTGGAGTGATTTTTGAGTATATTTTTCTCATGTTTTATTTCTCTTACTGAATGCTTGGAGGCATTTAAATGCTCAACTCTGTTTGCTTTTGATATTAATATTGTTTGATTATAATAAAATTGTTTGACTATGATATATGCTTAACTTCATTCTACAATTCCTCGTTTGATGGCAATGTATGTAACAAGGGTATAAATGCTGTCTCCTCATACACAACTATCGCTACCAACTTACACAATATTTGATCTAATTTATATTGTTTGATGTTATGGAACTTGTAATCATTTCCTGATTTGAACACATTAATACAAGCAGAAATTAGTGGATATTCGAAAAGATTAGTGAATGCAACTATCTCTGACCCGTACACGCCATTCGTATCCGCGTATTCCATAGCAACAATCCGCCTTTCCCTTGTAAGAAACCATCTATCAGAGCAGTTTTTGGTTAATGCAAATTCGTTTGATAGACTTATGCAAGAATATTTAGACTGGTCAGATTTGATTGAGTATTTCAGCAAAGGAAATATATCAGTGCTCTTACTGGTAACTGGTTTGAAAGTATACCTTTCAGTTACACGATTAATAAGTTGATGTAACGGGAGTTTGCCCGATCTTACTAGTTTCTTGATTTGAAATAGATGATTTTCAAATGGATATGATGAAATAGTAGGTAGTGGACCAAATCGTGCCACTTCTTCAACTACGTGAACAAGATTATGTACGTTGCTCGTAATGGAGTTAAAGAAAGCGTAATAGTTCGAAATGAATTCTTCAAACAATTTTTGAGCAACAGGTAAAAATCGTGTGTAGTAACTACTTGAACAAATAGTGACAGCACAAAACAAATTTGTAAAATTTTGAAAATGTTCGTCATTGATGAAATGTTTTAGTACAACAATACCAATGTAGTGCAAAAAAGAAGCACACTCAGATGCTTTCCAATGGCTTATACAATCTACGCCACGCACTTTTCAATGAATTTCTCTAGGCAGTTTGATTGCTTTTAGAATATTACATATTGACTCTACGGCACTATTTGGCCACCTACTTTTATCGCTTCCATTATGGCCGTCTTTGTATGCCAGAATCAATCTCGTCATTATTCCTAGATGTAGGAGGTGTAATGAATCAGCCACTATCACATCTTCAACTATGTCGATTAGTAGTTGAAGGAGTGGTGAAACAACAGGTGTTCTCTTCAATTTTCCATTTTCAAGTTTGTAAATTTGGTAGTGTTTATCATATAACCCACTCCGGAATGCAGCATCGGTCCTTTTGGCGGCAAATGTTTGTGGAAAAATATTGGTTCGTAAAAGAGTTGAATGCTGTCCAATAGTACAACATTTCATGCAGCCATGCAGTGAATTGAAATTTACAACACCTATATAGATAAAATAAGCTATAAATACATTCAAGATTTTTTTTGTAATGTTACCTTTAACGAATGCTCTAGCAGGAGAATCACATATTATAGCCCGCAGTTTAACCATTAATTCAACTCCATTTACGTTAATACCATATGTCAGTAAAGGTTCCTCAACTTTTTTTGGCTTGCTTTTTCCGTAAAAAATGCCAATTATCATTGGTTTTAAAGAAAAGAATCCGTGTATGCTGAATAATATGGGCCAAACCTGGTTAGTACCGTTCTTAAACAATGGTAATCCATCAATGTTGATGTTGATTTCCACCAACAATGGCTCTGTTAATTCCGGGAAGCACATACGGAGACAATTTTCTACAAAAATAATAAAGTGACACGATACATTTTACGAAACTCTGTACATGAAAACTACCTAAGCCCTGATGCCAATATTGTCCTCCTTCAATATCAATAATTGTTGGATTTATCCTAGGAGTGCGAAGAAGTCGTCTTGGGCATTCCGGAAGCGTTCGATCATAATTGTTCATTTTGTGCAAAAGTGGTTTTAAAGCTTGCTGTGATATATTATACTGCATACTCCAGTTCCTCAAGAATGTAGCTAAATTTACCACTTGGCAGTTGTTTTCATCTGAATCCTCTTGATGCGTAGTTTCTAGGTATGATGTGTCTGAACACAGGTTCAACTCTTCGTCGGAAACTTCATCAGGACTATAATTTTCCAAGGAATCATCCTGGGGGGCAGGCTGAGAACTGCTTCCATCAGACTCCTCATCTGGAGGATCGGGAACCGCAAGAACAGAAAATGTTGATTCAGACCCCAACTCTAACCCAGTCGCTTGATCAGTTTCTGCAGTATTAGTGGTATCAGAAGGATTTATATTCTGATACACGTGTACTTTTCGTCTAAAATTTCCACTTTTTAGCGTTTTTTTTCCATTCATCGGGAACGTTCATGTTACGATTAGTTAAAAAGTTCAATTGATTATTTAAATTTATTGTTGTCAACCATTTTACTTAGTCTTAACATAGTAGCTCTTTATTAGCACTTAATCAGGTGTTAAAGCCTACAAACACAAATCCTTGTGAGCATTATGTCGCAGCACTATATAAGCATATCAAGCTTCCAGTAATGCTAGTTTTTATTGATGCTTCTATGCATTAACAATGCTGATATGCAGCATATATGCTTTAACAATGCCGATTATAGGCTTCATGACAATATAAATGCCGAATTAGTGCAAATATAGAGTTAAAGCTTAATGCTTATGGTTACTTGGGATATCACGTATTGGTAACCATAAAGCGAATAACCGTAAAACTTCATGGGAATCGATAAATAATTATGTGGACCAGTATGATGCAAAATGCGTAAATAATTTCCGACAAGCATTGTCAATTAATCATACCATCTGGCCATTTTCCACAGAGATGGCGCTGTTCCACTAGTAGGAAGTAATAAAAATCTCCATATAGAAATTGAGAGAAGTGGGAATAACTCACTTTCGATGCATATTGAGGACAGCCCACAGAAATCATTACACTCAGGTCTTTTTTTACACGGGGGATACGTAAAATGTTTTTAAAAAATCGGATTTTGATGCCATTAAAGCATGATATGGTCCATATAGACATATTTTAAAAATTTCTATATTTACACCAAAAATTGTGATTTTTTTGCCATTTGCCATTCGATTATCTATAGCTTGAAACGGATAATGTGATTGGAATCAAGTCGATAGGTTGTATCGTTGTCGATAAATCGTTAAAAACGTACCGTGTAAATCGTGGAAAACCGTGTAAAAAAAAAACCGCGTAAAAAAACCGTGTAAAAAAGACTTCAGTGAACTGGACTATGTCGTTCACTTATTTCCCGGAAATTATTGTGAAGAGCTTAGAGTGTGTTGGTTTATTTCCTTTTAATTCCGTTATAATTGCTTATATTTTGTCAAAAGATAAACAATTATAATGGAATTAAAAAGAAATAAACTCAACACTCAAAGCTCTTCATAAAGGGATTCCGTTAAGAGGTTCGACAAATTTAAAAGAAAAAAAAAGACGGAAATTATTGTCAAACAAGCTACTTATATTTAAAAATGATTTCCCCCATATAGTTTTAGGCGAGTTTTACCTGCATTACTACTAGTCCCCAGGGAGCCGAAAATTTCTAATTTGAGAGAGAGAATTCGCTCAAACGAGCTCAAAGATGCATGTATTTTGAAAACACTCTATTTGTGATTTCCGTCTCACAGACTACGAAATAGAATACATACCTGACACAGCAAAACATGTCTGGTACCTCTGTATGCAGTTAGATTAACATCCGAAGGCCCTCCTTTTTAACATATACGGCACTAAGTATACTTTTTGCCCCGCCCCATTCATAAAAACGGCGGAAAATCCTGTTAGGGCGGGGCTTAAAAAGTATTTTGTGTGCATGATATGTTAAAAAAGGAGTGACTTTGGATGTTAACCTAAATGCATTTATAGAGGTACAATACAAGTTTTGAACGAACTGTCCTATGTTAACGATTAAAGGAACTAAGCGTATGTGGAATTTCTGATATATTTCTACATAAAGAGCAACCGTAACGGTACACTGCTAAACTCATTTTAGCAGCCCTCATCATAGCGCAGCTACCGTATCGGGGGTTGCCATACGAGTAACTAAAATAGCAATCGGCTTCTCTGTGAGAAGCGCGTTACCAAATTTAGCAGCGCGGGAGAAAGGTTGCTATTCGTAGAAATGTCAAAATGCTCACTAACAGTACGGACTATGGCGAGTAAATTGATAACCGCGATAGCAGCGACCTGTGTGGATAAGAGGGACTAACCTAAAATGAGAACGCTGTGCGCTGTTAAAATAGACGCGCAATTGACAACGACCGTTACGGTTGCTCTAAGAACAGCAGTCCAAAAAAAAAAATAACAACAAAAATACATTAAAAAACAATGAAACAATAAGACGAAAATTATTGTCTTAACAATGATTTATATTGTTGCATCTACAATAAATTTACCTTGATTTATGTTGTACAAAACAGCAAATTTCATGGTAAATGGAAAATTTACAATAAAAAAGGGGGGTTGTTAAGTATCTTAACAATGTAATTTTCGTGATTTCCCCATATATTTTTTTTTCAATAACATTATATATTATTGTTATTTTAATGTTGGTTGGCAAATTTATTGATTAAAAAAAAATAACAGTGTACTTTAGAGTGTATGTGTTGGCTTGACAGATCTACTTTATCGACTTTAAAAATAAATCGAAAAAATAAATAATCGCCCCGGGAAGGGAAGGGGGTGGTATTATAGTCGCTATATTCATAGTCTGGCGAATAGAATTTCGATCTATCAAAAAGCGGACCCAATTCTATATGTTGTAGACCACCAATTGAAAAGGTACATCAACTTTTATAAACAAAACGTTGATTATTCTTTCCTCACCAATAGAAGGTAAATTACCAGCATCATCGGATAGGAGAAACTTTCCACAACCTAAAGATGGTGTTAATTGGTGTAGGTGAGCCTTGAATCACGAGAAAACTGTTACCGAAATTTTGTTCGCAACAGCTGATGTGCTCTTTTCTGATGCTGGTCGTGATTTGCTCGATTGGTTCCGCTATTTGACAGCTCAATTGGTTCCCGAGATTCTATCCGCCAGACTATGAATATAGCGACTATAGGTGGTATGTCTGTTACGGGGGAGTCCTTTTTTTACTGGCTATGGATTGAGATTCGATCCGGAACTTGTAAGAAATGGAGGCCAACTCAACTGCACTCGATCTCTCTAGGTCACGTCTCCTTGGTGGTTGAGCGTCGGTGATAAGTTAATGCATTCTACTGGAGAGAATCGCCCATGAAATATGCTTCCACCTGAGAGTTCCTTTCTGACATCTTCAAGTGGTGGATTTTTTACGTTGGATAACGTCTTTCGGCAACATACGGGGGTACACAATTGAAAACAGTCATTTTGGATGCGTTACGTAAAATTAAAAGATTTTGAACGATAATAACTCAACCGTCTCTCGATAGATTTACGAGATAATGGCATCAATCGATTGGAAATATTTCTAGCAATTTGCTCAATGTTTCAAAACTATTGATTTCATTCTGTAAACTATTGAAAAATGGTTAAAAGTAAACCATTGTCTAAAGATGGTGAAAATCGATTGATTTTTTTATATTCTTATACTTTCTCCAACCGAGACATCAGATGCGAGTATCTGACACCTCTGATATTTTCTGTTCTACTATATAAGCGTCCAACAAGGTCGCCCGTTCCATCATTGTCAACAACATCAGCCCAACAAAACGGCCCTTTTCAGGGCCACCAAACTTTCGCAAAAGAGTTATTAAGGAATATTCCTAAAATATAATATACACAATTAAGTACAACACATAACAGACGTTATCCTGCGGTCGTATCTAGTATACAACCCTTCCAACTTTTTTATTATTATATTGTATGATTATTGACTGCACGGAAAAGGTCTGCATTAAGCGGGATTTAGATGAGGCAGGTGAGTTGAATTCAACTCAAACCGATCTGGTCGTAGGCGTTCAATTGACTTGGCAACGAATAGAGCAAGTCCGATATCGGTCAGATTTCTGGACGTTTATTTCGCAGATCAAGTGAGTTGAACGCTGAATTGAACCATCTTAACCCAGCAGAGGGTCTAGGATAAGAGATGAGTGGACGTGGACTGGCTGGTTTTGAGCCAAACGAACTGTCAAAGCCAGAGCCATACGAGCAGCGCCTATCTTGATTACATTGGTAGTGTTGCTGACACTCTCATAGTCTGCATACCCTAATAAAAAATAACCATAAACGAACGATAACCCAAATCATTGAACTATTCCACAAATGGTTTGGATGATACCCAGAACACGTCGTTAAGCAAATTAACCATACAATTTTTATTAGGGTATTTATTTTTATTGTTCGTGAAGTAACCCACAATGGTTTATTTTTATTGTTCGTGAAGTAACCCACAATGAAAACACACCAATATTTAATGTAACCACAATTTTTATTGTAATAGAGTTGTTCATTATTGTTCATGATCGAATCATGTTAACAATAAAATAAATGAAAAATACGATAAAAATCATTGTAACAACATTTTATTATGTACATTCATTGTACAGCTAGGTAGCAGTTTTGCCGTTTTCGCAAGAGGACAACATTATAACAATTATTTTTATTGTCGACTATAAATATTAATGTTAGAGCATTGTTTCCACTGAAAATTTCACTGTAATTTTTTTTTTTCGGGGTGTCATCTGAAGAAAAATTAACGCAGAAGCATGGTAATGTGCTTAATTTAAATTTTTCATGAACCATTTCATCAAAAACCTTCAGTGCTTTCAAGGGTGCGAATGTGTGAGAGTTGTGCGCTGAGCGACGCTGTGAGATAATCTCTCTTGCTTTCCAGAACCTCCCACTCCAACACGCATGCAACAGTTTGTTATCTTCCTCCAATCAGCAAACACCACAAAAGTAGGTATATCGCTTAATCCCTCGTATTGCAGTTCTGTTTACAACGGACACACAGCCCTATAGTAATAAATAGCATTAGTCATAGCCATTCAGCGATCTTGTCGCGATAAGGAATAATTGCAGTCGACGTCGACCGTTTGTTTTGGTACAAGTTCAGAAAAGTGTAAATAACCACTATCGATTTCAGTTTCAACGTGACAATGGGGTCCTGCTGTTCATCGTCGAACCACAACGAAGATGATGAATTTCTGCACCGTCAAACGCGATCGTTCCATCAGCCAGTACAACGGCAGCCGTCGCCACAACAGCGAATTCGCCAGCAAGTCCATGCGGCTCCATCGACGATTCGTATAGCTCAAATTTCCACATACAGAGTTCCCGTTGGGAATACAGCACCGTTGTCCGTCAGAAACAGTCCAAATGTGCTTATCAAACCGAAAGTAACGGTGGAGAGCTGTAAGGCCTGCGGCCAATCCGATCATACCAAGGCAGTCTGTCGATATAGGGAGAGACTTTGTTTCTAC